CGCTGCCCTGCTGGCCTTCCGCCGCTGCGACAGCAAGTTGGCGTGGAGGAGTCGCACCGCTTGTAGAGAAGTCATTTCAGAATCTTCCTGTGCCACGACGGCGATGTCCAGGTCGTCTGCTAGCAGGAGGATCTTCTCAGTTACCATGGCGTCGACCCCGTCCTCGTCCATGCGAGGAAAGGCTGTCTTGGCCAATGCCAGGAGGCTTGTTCTGTAAGCCAGCGGCGACTCCTTCGCGCCCCGCTGGCGGTCGTAGAACTGCTGCCTACACTCCGCGGAAGGCCCGTAGACTCCGGCCAGCAGCTGCAGCGCCATCGGCAGCGTAGAGCGCCTTTCCTTCGGCGCCGATGTTAGGGCGGCAAGCGCGTCGCCGTCGAGGAGCGCCGGCAGGGCGCTGAGAGCTTCAGCGTCTGTCCATTTGGCCATTTCTTGGTGGGCGAGGAAGCGTCATTGGAAGCCGCCCCAGTCGCCCTCTGCGCCCACGAATTCTTTAAGCGGGGGCAGCCTTTGGTGCAGCGCAGCGGTTGCCGTGGAGTCCCGTGGGCTGCTGTCTCCCCGACTCGGCTGTGTCTCGGCGCGAACGGCAGATGGTATCGCCTGTCGCAGCCTTGATGACGCGCCCTCCTCCGTCGTTGATGCGGCAGCCCCAGCGCGGCCGATGTCGGACCCCAGGTTGAGGTTGGCCACGCCCCTGGCGGTCGCCGCGTCGATGGCGGGAAATTCAAAATTTGAATCTTCAGAAATGGCGGGAAGGCGCTCCGGACGCCGGCTCCCCTCGCCCCGCGGTGGACCACCAGCCCCCAGCCGTGTGATATTTTCCAGCGTAGCGGCAGCGGCGTAGAGCAGTTCAGCCAGCCTCTCGTGAGCCAGCCTCAGGTCGTCTGTCCGCTGCTCCTCTTCATGGCGACGCTCCGGTAAGAACGCGTCCGGCCCCGGCTGCACGTTGTCTTGTTGAGCCATCTCGGGCTCGACAATTTCGGCGGCGTCTTCCGTTTGCTGTTCCCTTGGCTCGAGCTGATTGGCGCGTGTCCATGTTCTTAGTTCTTCTGACGCCAGATGAAGTACTCTTGAAGACGCGTGGACAACGTGGTAAGGCACACGTATTTATTTGCACAATGTCTTACAGCACTGGAGGGATGTATCGGCCCCCTCACCCGTACAACTGGGAATTCACCCCTAGCTAGCCTTCCTAGCCGAGTCCTCCGCTAACGGGCTAGGGGAGGCTGTCTGGCCCGACACTGGTCAGTCGGGCTACGGTACCCGGAATCCCAGAGGTCTAACTCTGGTTCCGGGACCACGCCACTGGCTCCAGCCTGCACTGCCCTTACAAGGGCGGCGTCCCAGGGGGAGTCCAGGGCCTATCTGGCCGGTCTTCTGTCTTCCCTTAACTACCTAAGACTGAGCCCCGAGCTCTCTGGCTCATCCCTTTTTATACCCCCCTAGAGGATCGAAACCCCCCTCACGCCGTCCAGTGCGGACGTCGTTGCGGGCACCACCCCGTGTGCTCACGGAGTCCCCGCCCACTGTGTTTGTTATCCGTTAGCCCCTATGCAAACAGCCCTACACAAACAGCCCCTCTGTAACAGCCCTACACAACGATTGATCAATTTAAGAGAGAGATTAAACACAGAACCGGAGACACATAGACATGCACGTAAGCAGAGAGAGATAACACAGAGACACACAGAGAGAGAGACAAACACATAGGTACACAGAGAAACAACGCCTCTGTGTCGAGGCCTTAAATAGAGAGGGGGGGGGCAGAGAGAGAGGGGGGAGGGGGTAGAGAAATTAGCATGTCTCTCTCTCAAATTTCACACTTAACGTCTCATTTATCAATCTTTGGAAGAATGTAATCAACCAGGCCATGCGTCAATTGTGTGGTGACCGACTCTCTGTGTTGCATTGCATTACATTTCCAAATTTCACTACGTTTGTTTGATTTAGTGTGTTTTCTCTCTAACTGTCTCCCCTCGTTTTGTCGCTCTTATTTCCTGCAGTTACGCATGTTTGAACTACCTCTAAGGGTAGGTTTTAAGTTTTTTTCTCTCTATCTGTGTTTGTGTTGTCTCTCTCTGTCCGTGTATCTGTCTTTGTGTCTCCGTGTCTGTGTCTTGTCTCTCTCTCAAATTTCACACTTAACTTCTAATTTAGCAATCCTTGGAAGAACGTAATCAACCAGGCCATGCGTTAATTGTGTGTTGACCGACTTTCTGTGTTGCATTGCATTACATTTCCAAATTTTACTAAGTTTGTTTGATTTAGTGTGGTTTCTTTCTCTCTGTCTCCGCTCGTTTTGTTGTTTTGTTTCCTGATGTTGCGCCTGGTCTCTCATTGACATGCTATTTTCTCTACCCCCCCCCTCTCTGTCCCCCTCTCTATTTAAGGCCTCGACAGAGGCGTTGTTTCTCTGTGTACCTATGTGTTTGTCTCTCTCTGTGTGTCTCTGTGTTATCTCTCTCTGCTTACGTGTATGTCTATGTGTCTCCTGTTCTGTGTTTAATCTCTCTCTTAAATTTAGCAATCTTTGGAAGAACGTAATTAACCAGGTAGGGTGCTGACTGTTATGTTAGCCGACTATCTGTGTTGTATTGCATTATAATTCTAAGTTTACTAGGTTTTGTTTTCTCTTTCATTTGTACCTGATGATTGCTTGTGTGCAATCGAAACGTCGTATGCTATTTTTTTATTTAATGTTTTCTCTTTCTACGTGACTTTACCGAAAGAACCAAAGAGTACATTCTCCTACTCTTACTGTCGAGTCTCTCTTTCAATAGCCTCTCTATGTGCTATGAAAAAGGACTATTGTGCAAAATGTTGCATATTCTATATACAGTATTAATTTGAAGATCACAGTGTTATTGGCGAGTATGTTTGTGGAGTTTTGTTTCTTTTTTGCTTGTGCACCCATTGCCATGCAGCATCGCCAAATACTGTTTCATACATTATGGAATGACTGGCCTTGCCAGGTGAGTGTAGATTTTCCACCACAATCTCAGGAACGCAATCAGAGATAGAGCAACAGCAAGTACAATTTGAGTTGACTCAAACAAGAAAGCTGATAGTAATGACGTTTTACTGCTGCTGCTGTTGCTACTGATGGGAGCGATTTTACTGCTGATGATGTTTCTGTTGCTGATTTATGTTGCTGATGAAGCATGAGTGATTGTGACAGAGAGGCTGAATTAAATTCCAATTATGTTTCAGGAGGGTTATAATGCTTATATATGTACAGACCACTCGAGTCGAATATTTATGTATAAATCAAGATCTAGAAAAAAATGTTCCGTCCGAAATGTTTCACTTGTAAAGGATTAAGGCTCAGCAGAACGTTCTAAACTGATCTCCGTGTCGGTGCTGAACGCTTCAATAACACAACGCTCGTCATCTGTGAACCCAGTAAAGCCCTTGTCGTGGAGCGAGACGCTAAAGCCGATAAAACGATGGCAAAGCTCGTTATCGGATACGCGTGAACAATAAGTACCCCCCCCCACTCACCCAAACAAAGACAAACAAAGACCTCCCGCATAGCCCTGAATCAATCCACAGGCACGCGTCGCACCTGAAGAGAATATTACCGTACTCTTTGGTTCTTTCGGTAAAGTGACGTAGGTATTAAATAATGGTGATTTTATTTATTTAATTTTATACATACGTGACTTTACCGAAAGAACCAAAGAGTCTGGATCCCTGCAGTCATGAAAACTTAAAATCTAATATGACCTTATTGGCGGTACATCGGTGGTGCGTGGTATATAAAACATCTCGCGGGGTGGTGGTGCGTCAAAACCAGTTCAACGCACCTTTCGGAAGACGAACGTTGCATGAATTAACCTTAAAATCGCGTCAAACTTTCCGACATGGTTAATTAAAGACTGATGTGCTCATTCATTTTTTTTCAGACTGTTTTATGAGAACCAGTTGATCATGCTGGACTGGTGTACCGCCAATACGTCCATATATCCATTTGAATACATCAGGTTATTTTCACACCCTACCACTGATTGTCTGTGATGTACTAACGTACGTATTGTCGTCTTATTGTAGTCCTCTCAGAATATTGCTCTTTCCTATTGTAATAATTGCTTTATTCATAGCAAACACGTAATTGATATTCATATGATAATTAATCATCTTGTATTTACCACGAAATGGATACCCATTGTAATGTAGATACATTCATTAAGCCCCTCTGCCCCTTCTCACGTGAAGGGCTCACAAGTGACTTCATCACATCTATCCCTCCATTTAAGGAACGAAACAGGAGGATTTATCAAAAATCTGGTTGTCCGCCTGATAATGCTGGTTGTAATTACTAGGGAAACGTCGTACTCAGCTTGTAAATGTTGTGGATTTACTCTCCAACACACCAGTGTGCTGTACTAGTAACGAATTAGCATGTTCGTTTTACGTGACAAACCTTACTAATTGACTTTGTTGGGTAGTGGTCGGTTTAACTACACATTTATATTAACGTGATCTGACCGTAAAAAAAAACCTCTATTATAATCATCTTCTGTTCACTTGTCAGAGTTAAGATTGTGTTGTTCACTGCCAGGTTGTCTTTTTCCGTGTTGACATTGTTTTGTCTGTCGCAGCATTTCGACGCGATTCTATTGCGAAAAGGCTCCGTGTGATAAAATTAATAAATACATACATAAATCCCATATGCCGATGCTGCCGCAGTCGTGCACAAATTACAAACAAGGCGAATATTCATAAAACCACAGACACTGCCCAACAGGAAATATATTACATTTGATTTCTCATCAAGCACACTTGGTGTTAGCCTCCGACCCTTATTATTAATAGTATACACTGTGTCTCTGGCCTCTGTTTACGTGATATAAAGGGGCTATTTCCCGAAAACGTGACATTTTGAATATATTTGTTTATTTTAAGGCCACAGCGCTATTGACAAAAGTGTTGAATCATATATATGTAAAGGTCGATTCATCGACGATATAAAACAGACTAGTGAATGTGCGCGTTACACTTACACTCAAACGCACATCACTTCAGCCGACTCCGCGTGCCCTGCAGTCTCAGGGGAAGTGCCACGTCCCTCCTCACCCTAATGCCCCTTTTAAACAGGAACAAAGATCCCCCGTGTAGCCTTAACAGACTGTTGGGGCAAGTGCTGTTAGCGTGCAGCACCTGTGGGGGCTGACGCCCACCTCCCTGCTCTCGTGAGCGGGAGGGGCGCGGCGTCCACCCCCTCCACTCCCCCCTCCTCCTCGTCGGCCGCCTATCGCCGGGCCCCCGCCGATCGCCGCCCCCCCCCCCGCACCAGCACCCTCTCTGAGGGACATGGCTCGCTGGCTGGCTCACCACCGCCCGGAGTTATCCCACACATTTCCACATACACCATCTCTCATGTGGAGGTGGCAGCGTGCATGCGCGAACACGTGCAGGCGCTCGTTGTACACACACACAAAGGCGAGCGATAAAAAATATCCGTATGAAATGCACACCTCCCCTCCAATGAGCCTTAATCCGCTGTACAAACAAAGGAGATGAACTGCGGCAGGGTGCAGGTCTCGCCGTTAAGGCTATTTTACACGCTTTTTATTTAACTCACTCAGTCTGTTGTATCCTCAACTCTGTCTGTTGTATCCTCAACTGTCTGTTGTCGTATCCTCAAATCTTGTAACTCAATTTTAACCCACTTTCCAATGTCGTATCGACTGCAAACTTGGTATACGTATGTCATACTGATGACAATACTATAGTCTATCATTAAAAAAACTAAATCTATATTTTTAAGCGATCTTTTTTATATCTTGTGTTTCGGCTTGGGTCTAATTGTCCACGCTTAACTCACCTTGGCTGTAAATCACCACAGTCCCTTACACTATGGCAAGCTTCGGGGCCACTTCCTGGAGTCGTGGAGTTCTGCAATTACTCGTACGGTACATTTCATTAAAGCGTGTTTAAAAAAAAGTATTTTTAAATATTACTTATTTTATTATTACACGATTTTATTTAACTCACTCTGTCTGTTGTTGTTGTATCCTCAAATCTTGTAACTCTATTTTAACCCATTGCCCAATGTGGTATCGACTGCAAACTTGGTATACTTATGTCATACTGAAAATACAGACACCACGCCGAAGTTCACCCACACACACAGAAATCACACTACACTGATCTTCTGAACTGAAATTTATTAATGACGCGTCTAAAGAAAATCCTGTGCAGCTCGGAGTAAATATTCTACGAGCAGCGCCTAGCATATCCTTATTCAATCCCTGGATGTACCCCCACTCTACGTCTCACCTCGCAGACTCACTCACGGTGTCACATGGACGCTGTGGGAGACGAATGGACGATGATCTGAGAGGAGAACTGCTTAACGTTTTTCTGTTCCCTCCTTTAATGCCCTCGGAATCCAAAGATCCAGGGTCACGCGGTGTTATCCTGCACGGCCAATTGGGCGCCTACCTTTCGATTTTAAACTGATGCATTGCTTCCCATTATGCCTCGATCCATTGTCGATGCCCCCGTCCTCCCCAGACTCAACCGGTTTGATTGGGGTGGCCGTCACGCAGAATACACATCTGCAGTGGGTCCAGGAATTTTCCTCCCACCTCTTATGCACTGCTCACATAGTGTTTGCCCTCGAGATCCTATCTCCCTGTGCTGTGAGTGTCTCATTGCGGTTAGCCCGGTGAGCTTCGTTGCGCCCATACAATTTTAAGCCAATTCCCGGGGGCCGCAATGCAATTTGGCCTGGGGGGGTCGGCCAATATCCTGGCACTGAGAAATCGTGGGACATCCCCGCTAGGGGCCCCTCTGGGAAAAAAACCCATGTTACCAGGTGACCCCCCCATGAGACCCTACGTGGGTGCGTGTGTGTGTTTAGTGGGGGTCTGCGTGCGTTCGTGTGGAGGGGTGCGAGGGGATGGCAGTGCCGGCGGAGTTGCTTCGTTGCTGTGGCACCACATAGCCCCCCGAGGTGTCCGTCCCTATCCCGGGTGGACTGGAGCACCTCACCTGGGCCGCTCCCACCAGGTAGCGCCGCGGAGTCTGGGGGAATCGCGGTGGCTCAGCTGCCCGAGGCTCCGGCGGTGGTCTCTGTCTCCATTCCAGAGGCCCCTCCTGCCCTCCCGCATCCACTGGCTGGGGAAAAAACTCAGGGTCAGAGGGGTTTAGGGGCCACCGCGCCTGTCACCTCCTTGTTGTTCCGGGACCCGCTGTGAACTGGGGCCTCGCGGGGCCCATATACATGGTGCGAAGCCCTCGGGTATGAGGGGCGCGGTGATCCCGGGGTGTCAGGGTACCTGAAGGGCGGGGGTCTCTCTCGCCGGGGCTGCCCTCCATGGTTTAAATCGGCAGACGTTGACCACCATCTCTCGGCCCCTCAACCCGCCCTGGATCAGCACTGTCCAGGAGGAGATCTACCGCACCACGTCCAGGGTCCGCGTCAGTAGGTGGTCAGCTTCCCCACCTGTCCAGCCCCTACGAGCGGGGTATGCAGCCATACCTTAGAGCCCGCCGAGTAGAAGGGGGGCTCCACACGGAGCCGGGCACCTTGCTCTTGCTGCTGTCATGCGGCCTCCCCCTGTTGGTAGGCCCGGCCACGGGCCCCTCGCAGGGTCTCCATCAGGTGCTCCATGGGCTGGCACCCTTCTTCCAGGTGCGGGGGGGGAACACCGAACAACCAGATCTGCTGGTAGGCGAGACTCATGACCAAACATCATTAGGAATGGGGTCTGTCCCATAGATGTGTGTACCATGGTGGTGTAGGCGAACAAGGCATAGCAGAGGTGTTCATCCCAATCCTGTTGATTGGCCTCCCGGCTAAGGTCTGGTTCATACGCTCCACCATACAATTCGGCTGGGGGTGGTATGCCGTAGTTTGGTCCTTCTGGATTCCGAACTCCCGGCACAGCGCCTGAAATAGCCCTGCCTTGAACTCACTACACTGGTCAGAAATGACTCGTTTGGGAATCCCATGTTTAAGCACGTAATGCTCCACAAATGCCCTGGTGACCACAAGGGCTGTTTTATCGGAGATGGCCACCGTCACTAGATAGCGCGTGAAATACTCCACCACCATGAGAATATACCAGTTGCATACCAGTTGCCTCGGCGGGATCGTGGGAATGGCCCCTGTATGTCGATCCCAACTAGCTGGTTCACCCGGCTGACAGGAATGGCCTCAGGGGCACCTGATACTACGCCAAATTCTGCCCACACTATAATAGTAGGTTTTTACCCTTTTAACTGGTACAAAACTGACACCTTTATTCAAGGCATCATGTTTGCAATGACCACAACACAAGTAGTCAAAAAAGCAAACAAAAAGAAGCAACTCTGATAAGGATGATAATATGCACTGTCCTTGAAGTTGATTGGCCCACACCCGAGACGACTTTCTTTAGAGCCTAGTCCCCATTGGTGTAGGGCCAGATGACACCAGAAGGCGTACAACTCAAACACAGTGCAATATCAGAGTATTGAGAGCTCGGAGTAAGCATTTACACTATGAGATCTCTTTTACCAGTGGCAAAATATAATAGTAGGTTTTTACCCTTTTAACTGGTACAAAACTGACACCTTTATTCAAGGCATCATGTTTGCAATGACCACAACACAAGTAGTCAAAAAAGCAAACAAAAAGAAGCAACTCTGATAAGGATGATAATATGCACTGTCCTTGAAGTTGATTGGCCCACACCCGAGACGGCTTTCTTTAGAGCCTAGTCCCCATTGGTGTAGGGCCAGATGACACCAGAAGGCGTACAACTCAAACACAGTGCAATATCAGAGTATTGAGAGCTCGGGGTAAGCATTTACACTATGAGATCTCTTTTACCAGTGGCAAAATATAATAGTAGGTTTTTACCCTTTTAACTGGTACAAAACTGACACCTTTATTCAAGGCATCATGTTTGCAATGACCACAACACAAGTAGTCAAAAAAGCAAACAAAAAGAAGCAACTCTGATAAGGATGATAATATGCACTGTCCTTGAAGTTGATTGGCCCACACCCGAGACGGCTTTCTTTAGAGCCTAGTCCCCATTGGTGTAGGGCCAGATGACACCAGAAGGCGTACAACTCAAACACAGTGCAATATCAGAGTATTGAGAGCTCGGGGTAAGCATTTACACTATGAGATCTCTTTTACCAGTGGCAAAATATAATAGTAGGTTTTTACCCTTTTAACTGGTACAAAACTGACACCTTTATTCAAGGCATCATGTTTGCAATGACCACAACACAAGTAGTCAAAAAAGCAAACAAAAAGAAGCAACTCTGATAAGGATGATAATATGCACTGTCCTTGAAGTTGATTGGCCCACACCCGAGACGGCTTTCTTTAGAGCCTAGTCCCCATTGGTGTAGGGCCAGATGACACCAGAAGGCGTACAACTCAAACACAGTGCAATATCAGAGTATTGAGAGCTCGGGGTAAGCATTTACACTATGAGATCTCTTTTACCAGTGGCAAAATATAATAGTAGGTTTTTACCCTTTTAACTGGTACAAAACTGACACCTTTATTCAAGGCATCATGTTTGCAATGACCACAACACAAGTAGTCAAAAAAGCAAACAAAAATAAGCAACTCTGATAAGGATGATAATATGCACTGTCCTTGAAGTTGATTGGCCCACACCCGAGACGGCTTCTCATAGTGTAAATGCTTACCCCGAGCTCTCAATACTCTGATATTGCACTGTGTTTGAGTTGTACGCCTTCTGGTGTCATCTGGCCCTACACCAATGGGGACTAGGCTCTAAAGAAAGCCGTCTCGGGTGTGGGCCAATCAACTTCAAGGACAGTGCATATTATCATCCTTATCAGAGTTGCTTCTTTTTGTTTGCTTTTTTGACTACTTGTGTTGTGGTCATTGCAAACATGATGCCTTGAATAAAGGTGTCAGTTTTGTACCAGTTAAAAGGGTAAAAACCTACTATTATATTTTGCCACTGGTAAAAGAGATCTCATAGTGTAAATGCTTACCCCGAGCTCTCAATACTCTGATATTGCACTGTGTTTGAGTTGTACGCCTTCTGGTGTCATCTGGCCCTACACCAA